TGGCCCTCAGGGATCCTATACAAGCAGCTGGATGAGTCCAACTTTGAAATGTGTTCGGTCTCAGGGGCCTGCAAGACAGCTGAACCCATTCAATCACTTCTGCACAACTCTTCCCCGAAACTGGACCCATCATGGTCGCCGATGGCCTCCCCAGTGTTACATCCACGGTCCTTTCTCTCCCTGCCTGATCCCACGGCCACATTTGACACAGAGGGCAGGTCTTCCTCTTGGTCCCCGGACAACCACACTCTCCCAGGGTTCTCTTCCCACCTCACTGGACCGGACTCATTGCCTCAGCGAGCCAGTCTGGTCTTCAGACTTCAAATAAATATCATCTATACACAGATGATTCCAAACTGCTTCTCCCCTGGCCTTGCCTCTCTCAAGCGTCCGACTCAGCAGCTGCCTGCTGACCCTTCTGCTTGGGTATCTGACAGGTCCCCCAAACCACTCATGTCCAAAGCCAAGCTCCTGGCCTCCCCGCAAGCTGCCCATGCCTGCTTTCTCAGCCTCCAGCCGCACGCCTGGGATTTGTTCTTGACGTGTCCTTTGCTCTTGCGCACAGCCAGGACAAAGCTCCATCTTCCAAATACATCCTGAATCCACCACCTCTCACCATCTCTACTGCTGCCTCCCTGGTCCAAGCACCAACTCCTGCCAGAGTCAATGTACTCAGCAGCCTCCTATCAGATCGCCCAGATTCTCTGCCCTCTACTGCTTTTCCTCAACACAGCAAAGTGATGCTGTTAAAACCTAAGCCCTGGGCTTCCCTGGTGGCGCAGTGGTTGAGAATCCGTCTGCCAGTGCAGGGGACACGGGTTCGAGCTCTGGTCAGGGAAGATCCCACATGCCGCGGAGCAACTAAGCCCATGAGCCACCACTACTGAGTCTGTGCTCTAGAGCCCACGAGCCACAACTACTGAGCCCGCGTGCTGCAACTACTGAAGCCCGCACGCCTAGAGCCCGTGCTTTGCAACAAGAGAAGCCACCACAATGAGAAGCCCGCGCACCACAATGAAGAGTAGCCCCCGCTCGCCGAAACTAGAGAAAGCCTGTTTGCAGCAACGAAGACCCAACGCAGCCAAAAATAAACAAATAAATTTATTAAAAAACAAAAAAACCCTAAGCCCATCCTGTGTCCCTCCTCTGCTCTCAACTCTGCAGGGCCACCATCCTCACCATGACCCACCAGGCCCTACAAGATCCTGCACCCATTTTATTTTATTTTTTTCTGCCCCATTTAAAATTTCATCTCCACTCAGCCATTCTGACTGCCTTCAGGTCTTAAAAAAGGATTCAAGGCTTTCTCAATAGGGCCTTCCCCGCCGCCCCCCCCACCTCCATGAAACACTGCAACCTGCCCAAACACCTCTTGTGCTTTATCTCTTTAGTATGAATGTATGCAAAACGTCCTATGTATTTTGTGTTTATCTTTGCTTGTCTCTTCCCAGAAGCATCTGAACTCTGCAGGGCAGGGAGTTTCTCCCTTAATCTCCTCTTCTGTTACTCTCCTAGAATAGTGCCTGGCACACTGTGGCCATTCCTAACAAAACGGAGGAGTCTGGGCAGAAATGTTAAGCAGCCTGGAGCTAAGCAGACAGGTCTGGGCTGAAAAATACAAACTTAGGGGTCGCTGGTAGGGAGGTTATAATCGAAGCCATCAGAATGGATGGAATTACCTTGTAATTCCTTGCCCAAACTCCCCCTAAAGCTATACTTGGGCTGGATCCCACTGGAAAAAAACTCCAGGTATTGTTCCAAATTCAGTTAAAACGAAACTGTCACTATTCCCTCTTCCTTTGTATCATCTGGGAGAGGGGTGTCTCTCCGTGTCGCCCGCCCGAGTCGCGGAGGCAGGGCATAGTCCGGGAGCCCTTCGGCCCCCATTGGCCAGCCCTGCCCCGAGGCCCTGGTTGGTCCCTCCCCCGAATCCCAGCCCTCGTCCGGGGGCGCCTTACTTACCCTCCAGTTCCAGCCGCACAGGGGGCGGCTCGGGAGGGCCCTTCGAAGGGCCGGGGGCCGCCTGCTGACGCCCCTTGATGTTGTACCTCCGGCGCAGCTTCCCCATGGCGCCCGGCTCCTGTTCTGCTCCCGCAGGTCCTACGACCAGCACACTACGAAGCCCAACCCACGTGGGAACCCACCGAATGTTCCGGCCGGAAAATTTCCGGGCTGAGTTCTCGCGAGAGCTGAAACTAACGGAATCCCTGGGGGCGGGGCTGGAGGAGGGGCCACGCTGAAAGCCAGGGCCGGCGGGCGGCGGAGGCGGGACCAAGTTAGAGGAGGGACTCAGTTTAAGCCCAGGACTGTTCTCACAGAGGTTTGGTCTGAGTCTCTAAATACTAATATTAATTTGGCTATTTGGGAATGGGAGTGTTCTGTCACCTTTAAAAATATAACCCTGCCCCAATACAATCTTCTTCCCTCTCTTTTTTGCTTATCTGCATTTTCTGATATTCCTACAAGAAACAGTTGTGTAATAAAAAGGCCCTAAATATTTCCATTACAGTGACAGGTAGAACTAAAAGAAGGCATCTATTAGACAACTTTGAATTCTCATGACCACATCCCATTGTCTGTAGAGCACTGGGAAATAATGTATTTTCTGAATCCTGTATCTTGCGACTAGAACATCTATATTGTGTCTCCTTTTTTCTGTTAAAAGCATTAATTGGTTAAGGGCAAACATTTAAATTATATCACAAAAAAAGTGAAGACACTAGGCGTTATTTTAGAATTTTAGAAAGGATAAAGTTATTTTTAAGACTTATTTGGGGCTTCCCTGGGGGCGCAGTGGTTGAGAGTCCACCTGCCAATTCAGGGGACATGGGTTCGTGCCCCAGTCCGGGAAGATCCCACATGCCGTGGAGCGGCTGGGCCCCTGAGCCAACGCAGAACAAGATATGCTGCAGAGCAGGTAAGCAATAAATTGTTGTTGGTTTGAATGAATGAATGAAGAGTGTGATTAATTTGGATGAGCTCCCCTCTTCCCCCCAAAGACAAAAACAAACCCCCCTTTTGTTGCGATCATCCATTTACAATGCTTGGTGTCAGTTTATTTATCTCTTGTAAAATTAAAATACAGTGTGTGTGTGAAAAAAAAAAAGCCCCCACGAACACACAGGTGGTGCGTGAGAGGATTTACATAGTATACATATGAACATGCTTTTAATTAAGTAAAAAGGATTTGGGGGGAAAACGTTATAATGAGCAAATCAAACCTGTGTTTTCATAGGTTTTATTGCTTAGGATGATAGTGATCTACAGTTTCTTCTTTAAATATGTTTATTTAAGTAAATAAAAAGTGTGTTCATCTTCAAATTATTAGGTAGGTAATAGAACATTCTCTTATATTTTCTTCTAAAATATTATATACCAAAGTATTATCTCCAGAAGTTATAAAGAACACTTTGTAAAGCAAAAGGAGAAAAGGCAAATACACAACAGCATGGATCTCATTAATATAATGTTGAACAAAAGAAGCCAATCACAAAAGATCATACTTTATGATCCAATTCACATAAAGTTCAAAAACAGGCAAAATGAATCCCCTAAATTTTGGAGGGGGCATAGCGAATGGGAGAGGGCAAAGGGAGCCGTTTTGCAAAGCTGGTAATGTTCCTTTTTAAACCTGGGTGCTGGTCACCTTGTGTGTCATTTAAATTCATGGAGAGGCACCTTATGATCTGTGTATTTTTCTGTTGGTATGCTATACTTCAATATAAAAAAAAGTTTCCTTTAAAAAAAAAAAGTATAAGGCCAGTGAATATATAAAAACCTCACCAGGAATCTAGAAAAATGTAAGTTCAAAAAAAGGCAATTTTTCACTCTTTGGGTTGACAAAAGTTAAGTTTTATTTTCCTGGTGGTCTCAAAAAATGTCTGGTTAGACATGGTTTGATTTAGGATGCAAACAAGGCCCCTCACTGTTGTGGCCTCTCCCGTTGCGGAGCACAGGCTCCGGACGCACAGGCCCAGCGGCCATGGCTCACGGACCCAGCTGCTCCGCGGCATGTGGGGTCTTCCCGGACTGGGGCACGAACCCGTTTCGCCTGCAACGGCAGGCGGACTCTCAACCACTGCGCCACCAGGGAAGCCCCCCTGCTTTTATTTTTTATGTCATTTACTTATTGAGGAAACTGGGTCGTTAATCCTGTTGAATGCTCCACATTCTGGCTTTAGCTGATTGCTTCTGCTGCTTCTAATTTTTTTCCTCCATCCCCCATATTTCCTGTAAACTGTTGGTTAGATGTGGAGGCCACATCAAGTTTGGGTCCAAAGTGTTTGGCAAGAATCCATCATAGGTGGCGCTGGCACTTCTGCCACTAAGACTGGCGGGTCCAGGTACTGACCACTTGGCCCCTCCTTTTTTAAGTTCCCCACCGACCTGCCACCTTTTGGTTTTAGTGTCTTGATGATTGTGGCCTGGACCTGTCATTTCATTAAGGAGTGCAAACGGATTTTCTAATTTCTAATTTTCTAATCTCTTTCACTCCCTCCTCATTTACTAGCGGGACTTTCCTAAAAAGAACTTTCGGTCCTCGACTATTTTGTGACTCTGAAATAGAGTTCTTTGAAGAAGGGCAGGAGGGATGCTTAATGCTTTGCTTTTAAACATTTCAGAATGAATGAATAAGCTCGTGCCCATGCCATCGGCAACGGTGGCCAATTTTGGGGTGTCATTATAAATTCAGCGATATACAAAATGTTTACAGTTCATATTTTCCAATCAATTGCACTCGTCCTTGTTGGGGCTGTTTCCACTTTTACAAGCTTGGGTTGCTTTTTATAGAAAAGTTAAAAATAAAAATTACTTTTTAAAAAAGAAAAGGTTAAAGCCCCGCCAGGTCAGGGAAGACTTCCGGGCGGTGGGGGCGTGGAGATCATCAACCTCACAGCCTCCTCCGGCGCTCCGGCCAGGTCGCCGGCGGGTCCCGCGTCCGGGGGCGGGGCGCGGCGTGGGCGGGGCCTTCGAGCCTGTGCGCGCGGGGCGGGGCAGGTGGCGCGGCGGCGGCGGCGGCGGCAGCAGCGCGGGCAGAGGTGCGGTGCTTGGCCACCGAGCGCGCCAACGCGGTCCCCGCCGGAGCCGCGGCGTCCCACTGTGCGGCTCTCACCCTTCTCCCGGACCCCGCATCCCACCGGCCCCAGGATGGGCGCGCGCTCTTCGGGCGGACCCCGGGCCCAGGCTGGGTTCCTGCTGCTGCTGCTGTTCGGGCTGCTGGCCCCGGGCGTGCAAGGGGCACGGGGCCGCGGCGGCACCGAGAAGAACAGCTACCGCCGCACGGTCAACACCTTCTCGCAGAGCGTCAGCAGCCTGTTCGGCGAGGACAACGTGCGCGCCGCTCAGAAGGTGGGCGCCGCGCCCGCGCCCGCGGTCACCTTGCCGCAGCCGCCGCGCACCCGGGGCCCGCCTGGGCCGTGCGCGGCCTCCGGGGCTGCAGGCCGGCCGGGGCGCGGGAAGAGGGGGGCCCGGGTCTGGGGCGGGGGAGCCCGGTCTGAGCCCCGGAGCCTTCCGCCTGCCGCCCAGGCCCTGCCCAGCCAGCGTCGGGTCTGGGGGCCGGTTCCGGCGCAGGGCCTCGGTGCGCCCTCTGTGCCACGCGGTACTTCTCCTTGGACCTTGCCCCCGGGGGTGCGTGGCCCGGGCCTCCTCTGGGCGGCGCTGACGCCGGCCGCGCCTCTCATTCATTCATTCAACACGTTTGAATGAGCACCTACTGTGAGCCAGGCATCGTGGCGGCTGCCCGGTGCGGGGGGGAGGGGCGGGGGGCGCCCTGCCAGCCAGCGCCCGCGCCCTGTCCCCACGCTGCTGCGCTGTCCCCAGCAACCCCGAATTTCCCGTAGCCTTGCACCCGACCCATTTCCCCTGAGCACCTGAGGCCCTCCTTCTTCTGCTTTGAAGATATTTAGGCTTTTTACTTTTTAAATTATTTTTTAAGGATGGGAGTAATGCAGTCTGCTCTGTTGCTTTGGCAACCTGGCACCGTAACAACCCTTTTAAGCACCTACTGTGTGCTGGGCCTTTCACTTGGAACGTTTTGTTTACTTTGGAGCTGTTGAGGAGCCTCAGACCCCTGGGGATGGTGTTGAGCGCTCCGGAGAAGCGCAGGGAGTTCTTTCTCCCTTCTTTGCCCTCGGTAGCCATTCGGGGTAAAAGTCCCCCGAGAAAGGGGAAGTGAATAGGGGGACAGTTACCTGTGGTCAGGCGGTTCCTTGAGTGCAGCCCTTACTGCTCTGCACCAGTTCCTTTGCTCTGCACCAGTCCTGGGGTTTGGGAGCGGAGAGAAGTTTGGGTTTAAGTTCCAGCTTTTACTGGATAGCTTTGGGCAAGTGGCTTCACTTTTTTGAGCCTCCGTTTCTTTATTCCTTAAATGGGGCTAATGATAATATCCTCTTGGTTATGAGTTTGTAATTATGAATCGTTGGTACCTTCTTGGCCCAGAGTAATGGCAGAATCAGTGTGAGCTACTGTTGTTAGTTAATATCCTGGCCAAGGAGCAAATCAACATTGCAAAGCCCCGCTGAAAGGGCTTTCAGGGTTTAAAAAAAGTTTTCTGGTGCTTGAGGTGGAGGGGAAAGAAAAGAACATTAAAGCCCAAATCAGATTGGCTGGATATTCTAATTGGATGAGGTGAAATACAAGTTAATTTGTTGGGAAAACTAACTTCTGACTACCATCTCCTATGGGTGTTCTGAGCCTCCGTAGAAGTTGTGGGTTCTGGCAGGATCTCTTTGTAGGTGGCCACGGAGGGAGAAAACAAAAACACCTGAGTGCAGAAAGGTGGCCATCCAGTCTGCCTGAGTGTGAAGGGTGAATCTGCACTTCCCTCCTGCCATGTGCCTGAGCCATTTGAAGGCAGAAATCATTCCTTTTACAGCAAAAAGAAGTGTGACTTTTTTTGAGGAGGGTAAGCACAAGTAACCCATGTCTTGGCTGACGGTCCTATCTGAGAATATAAGGTCCGCGGACGTGAAATACAAAATAGATACTTAAGAGTTTAATATGGGTTGGTGCCAATAAGACAGCTGTATTCTGGCAAAGAATCTGAGAATCTCGAGGTCAGAACTGAAGTTTTGTGGTAAATGAAGTTTTGTGCCTTCAGTAGAGATGACAATAATACTAATTTATTTGTTTAGGATGCACCGTTTTTCCTTTTTTTTTGGCCAAGAGGCATGCAGGATCTTAGTTTCCTGACCAGGGATTGTACCTGAGCCCCCTGCAGTGGAAGCGCAGAGTCTTAACCACTGGACTGCCAGGGAAGTCCCCAAATGCGCCTTTTTAAAAACGATCTAATTGGTTTTATTCAGCAATTCATGAACTGGGCAGCATCCCTTCTAGCAAATAGGTGGTCCAATGTTCTAAGTCCTTTTATAGGTAGAGTAACTCACTTAATCCTTAGAACAGGCCTGTGAGGTAGGTACTATTAATGTTTCCATTTTACACATAGGGAAACTGAGGCACAGAGTGGGGAAGTGACCGGCTTCAGGTCAGACTGGGTGGAAGAGCCAGGATTTGAACGAGGCACAGTGGGTCTGGGGACCACACTGGTACCCTCACTGGTCTCCCAGCATCATGACCCTTCCTGATTCCCCTAATCATTGTGGCGTCTAGAATGAGGCTGCCCCGATACTTCCTGCCTAGTGTAGCCTAGACCGGCCAGGCTTGGGGGAGATTGTTTTGTTAATCTTAATTAAAAGAAACTGGATCTGCTAGTGACTATAGTTTTCAGCGAGCCAGACCTGCTTAGTGGGTTGTGAAGTTTGAGGGCGTTTAATGAAACACTCCCATGTTCTATCTAGGACTTGTCTAAAGTTAACCCCTGACCTTCTTCTGGTTTGGAGCATGGGCCTTGCTCTCCAACAGACATGGGTTCGAATCCCAGCTCTGCGTCTCACTAGCTCTGTGACCTTGGGCCGGTTGCTTGACCTTTGTGTGTCTCATTTGTGCAAAGGAGGTAAATTGGAGGGTTGAATGTGATTAGTCAGGTTGTACAATACCAGGCACTTAATAAGCATTTAGTAAATGGTAGAAGATATTTATATGAGAAGGATTCGCCTGGTGTAATTTAGTGTAAGGAAGCACCGTCGTTCAACCTACTCTTGATGGCTAGTGTTTCACTAGTTTCCTGTCTTTTGCCACGTGAATCCTGGCTGCAGTCACGGTCCTTCTGTATAAATTTTTTGGAGCGCGCTTAGACAAGTTCATCTGTAAATTGTTAGAAACGTCATTGCTGAGCCAAAGGATCTGTGCGTTTTAAAATCTTTAATTGAAAAATAATTGGTGCACTTTTCTGTGTAAGTTATACAACATAATGAATTGTCACACACCAAACACGCCCATGTGACCAGCATGTAGACCTAGAAAAGTATGGTCGAAATCCCCCTGCCCCAAGACAACCCCTCTCCTGACTCTGACAGCGTAAATTAGTTTTGATTGCCGTGTCCTTTATGCACAGTTCCAGTTCATGTACTTTTTTAGTACTGAGAGATATTACTGAATTGCTTTCCAGTTATACTCCCATCATACGTGTGAGGGCTGGTTCCCAAACCCTCTCCAACGAAGTGTCAGTAAACTTTTTGGTTTTATTATTTTACTGTGAGATATCTGGTCTTTTCACTTATCCAGAATCCATTGGCGTCTTCTTTTCTGGGAACTGCTTTTTGTTTTCCTTTGCCATTATTGAACTGTTGGTCTTTTTTTTTTTTTTTTTTAAGAGACTTACATTCTTTTGCTTTGTAAGCAAATATTTTGAGCAGAGTAACTTTGACACTTTCCAGTCTTTTTTTTTTTCCCCACCAACATTCTAACAGCTTTATTGAGAGGTAGTCGACATAGACTACACATATTTAAAGTGGGACAAAAGTGTACACGTTGGTAAATTTTGCCATATGGATATACCCGTGAAAACATCACCACAATCAAAATAATATTTCCTTTTTATTTTGAAAAGCTGAAAGAATTGAATAAGGAACAACTAGAAACTCCACCTGGGTTCACCATTTCCCCCCCAAACTGTTTCTCTTTCACTAACAGGCACACACATACACACACTTTTTTTGAAAGTAAATTGCAGACATCATGACACTTTCTCCTACAAAACCATAATACTGTGGCCCCTCCACCCCAAAACTTAAATTTAGTACCATAATATTTTGTAATATACAGCCCATATTTGCATTTCCTTTATAGCTTTTTTAAAAAAAAGCCAGCACCCAATCAACGCTTGTCTCTTTAGTTCCCTTTAGTCTGTCAAAGTCCCTTCACCCATCTGGGGGTAAGGGAGGCTTTTATGACATTGACATTTATGTCTTTTTTTTTAATAGCTTTATGGAGCTGTAATTCAGATACTATACATTTCATTCCCTGAAAGTTCGGTGATTTTTATTATAGTCACAGGGCTGTGCACCCATCACCACAGTCAAGTTTAGAACATTTTCATCCCCCTCCAAAGAAGCCCTACACTCATTAGCAGTCACCCCACCTCCCCCAGCCCCTGACAACCCGTCATCTTCTTTGTCTTCATGGGTTTGCCTGTTCTGCGCGTTTCCTACAAATGGAATCATACAGTGTGGTCTTCTGCATCTGGCTTCTTTCTCACTCAGCATCATGTTTTTAAGGTTCATCCCTTTTGTAACCTGTGTCAGTATTTCATACCTTCTTATGGCTTTTTATTTATCCATTTATCAGTTGATGGTCATTTGGGTTGTTCCCACTTTTTGGATTCTATGAATAGTGCTGCTTTGAACATTCATGTGCAAGTTTTTGGGTTTTTTTTGTTGTTTTCGGTACGCGGGCCTCTCACTGTTGTGGCCTCTCCCGTTGCGGAGCACAGGCTCCGGACGCGCAGGCTCAGCGGCCATAGCTCACGGGCCCAGCTGCTCTGCGGCATGTGGGATCTTCCCGGACCGGGTCACGAACCCGTGTCCCCTGCATTGGCAGATGGACTCTCAACCACTGCGCCACCAGGGAAGCCCCATGTGCAAGTTTTTATGCGAATATATGTTTTCTGTATTTTGGAGTATGTACCTAGGAGTGGAATTGCTGGGTCATACGGTAGCTCTCAACATTTCAAGGAACCTCTGTACAGCTGTACCATTTTACGTTCCCACTAGCAGCGTATGAGGATTCCTTTCTCCCCATCCTCGCCAACACATGTTCTTGTCTTCCCCCCACCCCTTGGATGCATTTTACTTAGTTTATTTTTTAATTGAAATATAGTTGATTTGCAATATTATATTAGTTTCAGGTGTACAACATAGTGATTCAATATCTTTTTGGACTATACTTCATTTATAGTTATTTTAGAATATTGGCTGTATTCCCTGTGCTGTACAGTATATCCTTGTAACTTA